CTGTTCTGTCCTGTCTGTAGAGTGTGTAATCTGGAATGTCATAGAATGAGTCTGGCTCCATGGGGTTTGCCCATGTTTCGCAGACAGCAATTAGTGTGGGCGTGATGCGTGTGATAGTGGGTATGAGCTCGTCCATTTTGTTGCACAAGCTCCTAGCATCAAATGTTAAAAACCTCATTCCTAGGAAAATTAGGTAAAGAAATACAACATGCTGGAGCCGTAAGAAGACCTAGGGCAAAAGTATAATATTATGCAAAAAGGTGAAAATGGTGTAAGTGCGAGGATATTACAGTACAACACGTTCCGTTCTGTATGTGTGGATATCTTGCACTCACCTAGGGCTGTCTGGGTTTGTCTTTTTCAAATTCATCTTGTTTCTGGGTGCATTGGTTTGGTACACTGCGGCATGCGGGTGTACCATGGTTCATTATTAATTTTGTCCTATAGTTCGTACTCGGGATCAGCCTCCTGCCCGTAGTTAGATATTATGGCAATCGTCTCTCTCTCTCTCTCTCTCTCTCTCTCTCTCTCTCTCTCTCTCTCTCTCTCTCTCTCTCTCTCTCGCTCGCTCGCTCTCTCTCTTGCCTTCCGCCTTCAGGCGGAAGCTTCGGCTTTTGTCCCTCTTGCGTTATCATCTCTTGAACTAAGTTACCTTCTTGGAAGATGTGAGTAAACCTGAACGCTGGTGTGAGTGTACGTGTCTGTTTATGCATGAGTGTGTGTGAGAGAGTATGTCTAGGATCAGTTGGTTATGTGTGAGCTGGGCTAGGACTGGGTGAAGTTGCGTTATGCCAGCCGTGACTATACTTGTCACAGAACGTTCCGAGGGTTAGAGACGACACAGCCAAGGGCGAGACTAACCGGAACGCTCCCCGACCAGGTTTATATGTGCGTCCGTCCGTAAGAGTGTGTTGGTGGACTCTCTCCAAGTGGCCACCACTGCACGACCTTGTAATGTGAAGGTTTAGTAACTTAGTTCATGTCGACACCGCAGCCCTGGGGTCTAACCCCGGGCGCACCGGATACGACACTGACACCCACGCTGCAGTCACAAATGACGCCTCAGCGCCTGAGTCCAGGAACACGCGAATCTTTGCCTCTTGAGTTCTTTCCTCAACTCTTGCCACTCCGATCATCAGCCGCACACTTGAAAACCTTTCTCGCTTCCAGCGGCAGCGACTTTAGCTGCTTCTCTGCATCTGCGACCGATATCACCGTGCACTGTGCCGATGCCGTGGGCCTTGGCACGGATCGTTGCACTGGTTTCCTGGCAGTATCACCATGTCGTCCGTTCGCGACCTGGTAAGACGCGCCGTGCTCCTGTACTTGGCGCAGAGACATCAGGTAGCACTGCCGTTCGACCAGGTACGTCTTCATCTCAGGTCCGCTTTGATCCAAGATTACCTGCTTTGCCATTGGTTGCAGTACCGGGGCTATTTTACCTATATCGGCGCTATACTTGGTGTCCACCTCGCCATCTTCTGTCATAGCGAGTGTGGCCCACACCTCTACCTCTCGGCAAACACGGACAACGTATTGTTGAAACGACTCCTCTGACCGCTGCTTGCCTGTCAGCAATGTCCTCCACGCTTTGTCCGGCGTCTTTCCGAGCGAGACAAGCAACTCTCGCTTCGCTTCCTCGTAATTATTGCATCCAATACAGATCCTCTCGGCTTTGCTACCCGCTAGCGCGATGCGCAATCGTAGCAGCCATTCGCTTTCTTCGAACTCGTTCTTGGAACAGATGTCCTTGAACAGGTCAAGATGGTTGGTTGGTTGGTATATTTTATTTTACTTCGCCAGAATGAACAGGCATTGCTGCCTTCTTGCCTGGAAAAGTGGATTGTCCAAACTCTCACAAAAAGACGAAGAAAGGAAGGAACTATTACATGAGAGTGTGAAGCATGCAATCTTATAAAAATAATAAAAAATTCCATGAGAGTGTGACGCATGCATGATGAGAGAGAGAGAGAGAGATCGAGAGAGAGACTGCTTTATAGCCTGGACAAGTGAACTGTCCAAGCTCTTACAAAATGACCAACAACAATAGCAACGTCAACAACAACAGCGACAGCGAAAACAACAACAGGCCAACAACAACAGCAACACCACAGCAGCAGCAAAACAACAAGAGAGAGAGAGAGAGAGAGAGAGAGAGAGAGAGAGAGAGAGAGAGAGAGAGAGAGGAAGAGAGAGAGAGAGAGAGAGAGAGAGGGAGGGAGAGAGAGAGAGAGAGAGAGAGAGAGAGAGAGGGAGAGAGAGAGAGAGAGAGAGATAGAGAGAGAGAGAGAGAGAGAGGGAAAGAGAGAGAGATAACGCTCCAGTGGCTGGGTTCCATCATATAAGGGGATTTACATCAACGGTTTACGCCCACCTCTGTGACTGGGAGCTTCCGCTGTACTTCCCATCGCACTCTCACTGGCGGCTTTACCATCACCAACATTCGCATTGGCGATGCGCTCGTTAATCTCCTTTAGTGTTTTGTCAAACTCGGTGCGGAGCGCCTCCTCTGGCCGTCTGGCACTGCGCGCCTCACGCTCCTCTTACTTTTGGAGCCTGTGTGCCACATGTTCCATCAACAACTCGCCTTCTAATCCGAACCGAACTCCATTGGCGATAAAGCTGGCTTCCAAATTATGTAGTTGCTCTGCCATGCTCGCTCCTATCCTAGCGTGGTCGCCAAATGTTATGAACCCTCTGAGATTCTCTAAATTGTCAGGATCGAACGACCACACGGCACGAGGACACCTCTGTTCTCTTCCACAGTATATTTCGTGAAATTGATCGAATAATTAATAACTAACAGTAATAACACCAGCTATTTATAGCATGCAAAACAGCGTACACGCAAAAACATACGCATATAAAACGGGACATAACAGCGTATCCAGTAAAACCGCACACAGCGCATAATAGCGTATGGCATGCTGCAACATCAGCGGTACGGCGGAGTCGAGATACAACATTGCACCGAATACAATGCCATAAGCGCGAAGGCCTGGTGGTTTGTAACAGACGACATACTTTTTCGCAACTTATGCTTTTCGCAAAAAAAACAAGTGCAAGTTGCTGAAATCCCATCCATATTCTCAGGAAAAGGTCAAAAGTTGCTAACATTGCAACCTAGAATGGGAGGGTTCTTGTGCGTACAATGATGCCAAAACCACCAAAAAAGTAGCAGAAATGGCAGAAGTGCAGCGACATTAAACTCTCTAAGTATACCCCTTCCTGTTGTGACTATGGACAGCTGTACGCAGTGCCAGGCGTGGGCCATCCCCTGGATTATCAAAAATGGGTGCCTTATAATTTTTTTCTGTTTTTAGCTTGTTTTCTTTACACTTCTTTCTGCGAGTTTCGTTTCAGATCTAATAAAAAAGTTCATAAGTTTTGGTTGATGAAGTTGACATGTACATTGTACATCAGTCCAAACTCTGATAATAAACAATCTCTTTTCATCTTGTTTTTATTTTTCTAAACACCTACCGGTACTTTTACCCATTCTACTTCCCCATAGCTAGATCTAGCTTTGCTGTACATTTCTGATTCTTTTTCCTGGTGCGTGCTTGTGGCATTGAAGCCGAGACCTTTGGTCGGTGGAGCCCCTGGTACCTCACCATCACTGCTGCCCAGTGCAGCCCCTGCTCAGTAGCTGTTTGTTTTTGTCCACATAATTATTTATTTTACAAGGTGGGTTTGTGAATAATAGTAAAAAAGTGCAAATACCCTATTGCACGCATCTTCCATCATTTAAAGTGGGAATGTACATAATGTTACTACCGTTGATCTATTGTGTCTCTGAAATGAGGTTAACCCAGGCACCTCTCGTATCGCAATAGTGGTCTTTGAAAAACCCACTCTGCCTGCCTAGTTAATAATACCATTGATTGTTTCATAATGCCATCATGAAACAATGACATGAAACATTGTATACTTTGATTCAGAAACTCTTTTTGCCTAATCATTAGCGAGTCTTCATCACGTAGTGCAAATCGGAAACCGTAACACACTATAGGCCCAAAAAGGGGCTGCTGTGCACGCCTGATTGACCACAATCACAAAAAGCGCACATAGGGTGATTGTGCTGTGAGACGGATAATAATGATGCCAAGATCATGGCAGTTCAAGTGCAGATGAATCATCTCTTCACAATGTCAAACCGACTTCATAAACAACCCAACAGCCTCGTCTGTCTACTTCCATATGCTGCCTCATGAAGCACCTAACCACGGCTACAAAACAACGCATACCCGAACTCGTGAGCCAAGCACATCCTGCAACAATACCAGCACAAAAAAACGCTACCCTCAATGAATTCTTAATTTCACAGAGCACGCTGTCCGCGGGCTATGCGGATGAGCAAGCTCCATTCATCAACACCTCCCCTGCCATCCTCAGCCCCTTCTAGAAATCTCTACTTCTGAAGCTGAGGTCGAAGGCCTTCTTCGCGGAGTTGTCACCACCAAGAGCCCAGGGTTCTACCCTATACCAAAACTGCATACTAAAAGAAGCAACATGAGAACTGGCACCGTCGTTACCGTCCCTCTTTAACCTATCATTCCAAACCGGAGACATCCCCCAGTATATAATGTACTCTTGATTGTATACTATGATTGCACTGGCTCCATCCCTTATCTCCTAAGCTACAACCCCCCCCCCCCTCATCCCTCCCTCCCGGTGCGTCTGCCCAGTGTATTGCCAAAATTTCTAAAACAACTAAACGGAGCAGTGGAGTCCCTGCCGCATTAAAAGCCTGTTAATCAAGGCACAAACTAGCGCCTTTATTACTATGGAAGAAGTCCATGCTGGTGTCACATGTGGGACTGATACATTGCAAGCCAAACAGAGTGCAATTCACACATCAGTTTACAAAAACATTCCATCTCAAAGAACGTAGGTGGTACTGGTTCTAGACCTAGCTGGGCTCCAGAAACTCAATTTTTCAAAACTATTTCAATTTAGTGGGTATGCGTGATATTGGTGGATCCATAAATAGCACTTACCTGAACAAGATGGCACAGGTGGTATCCATTGGCCGCCATTTCCACAAGTGATTTTCTTCTGCGTGGTAGATTGTGGTTGACCGGTAATGTAATGACCAGTATCACATTGTACATTCACTACCACTCCGTGGTGAACAGTAGATCCAGGGTTGCTCACTTTCAATCCAACAGTCTGCTTTGGAACAAGGCAATGTATCTCTGAAAGAAAATGTACCAAACGCTCCATTCTTACTCATTCACTGTTGTCTCGACGTGCAGAGCGACTAATGCTGAAAGAACCACCACAGGGGACTGCGTGGCCCGGTTTTCAGGTCTTTAGACAGTATTATGGTGCATTCTCTCATGAATGTGCTTTGTCTAGAGTTCACACAACTAATCAGGATTTGCGCCTTTTACGTCTTCTCAGTCAGAGTTAAAGAGGTAGGCGGAAAGACGGGGCCAGTTAGCATGTTCGTATCGCAAGACAGTCAGCTTTTCCTGGGATACTGTGAGTGGTCTGATCTAGAGGGGCTTGTTGCGGTTGATGGAACTCCAGGCATATCAGATATTCGGCATTATTAGGAAAACTGCTAAAACAACTAAACGGATCAGTGGAATTCCTTCCCGTATTTTAGGCCTGTCAATCAACGCACAAACTAGCGCATTAATTACTATGGGAGAAGTCCATGCTGGTCTCATATGTGGGACTGATACATTGCAAGCCAAAACGAATACAATTCACACATACGTGTATAAAAACATTCCATCTCAAAGAAAGTAGGTGGTACTGGTTCCTAACCTAGCTATGCTACAACAAATCAATTTTGTCAAAACTATTTCACTAAGTGGGTAAGCATCATAATGGTGGGTGCATACATAGCACTTACGTGAACAAGATGATACAGGCGGTGTCCATTGACCGCCATTTCCGCAAGTGATTTTCTTCACGGTGGAATATTGTGATTGACCAGTAATGTAGTAACCAGTATCACATTGTACATTCACTACTGTTCCGTGGAGAACATTAGATCCAGGGTTGGTCACTGTTAATCCAACAGTCGCTCTTGGAACAGTGCAATGTATTTCTGAAAGGAAACGTACCAAACGCTCATCCTCACTCACTTTTTTCTCGACATATAGATCGACTAAAGTTAAAAGATCCACCACAGGGGATTTATACTCAATCACTCATTATTTTATGTTTTGCAAAAAGCCCAACCCTGCCCTGCCAGTTTCGTGGACTAACGGGGGTCGCCATGGCAAATAATATTGGTAAGAACATGAAAAGTAAGAGAAAAGTCGTGTGATGACTTTCTCGCACGCTAAATACTAGGACTTGAGCCGACGAATGGACCAAGCATCAACATCGTATGGCCGCATGTATTCGCTCTGGATACGACGTCAACTTGTATCCGAGGAAACCAGGCTTCGTCTCTACAATGCCATCGTCCTACCAACACTGTTATACAACTGCGAAACCTGGGGACTGACAGAGGCTGCACTGGAGAAGCTGAACGCCTTCCATAGACGTCAACTACGGAACTTGTTCGGAATTAGGTATCCCGCCATCATCTCCAACAAAGACCTATATTCCAGAGCACACACAGCCACTTTCGCACACCGTTGCTGTCCGCCGTTTCCGGATGTTGGGTCATGTTCTGAGGATGCCCTCAGATGCCCCGCCACAGCAGGCAATGGACAACTACTTCCGTCGAGATGTCACCGGTGTGCGTGGACGCCCGAAATCGAACCTGGCCACGGCAGTCAAGGCAAGCACAGCTGCCAGAGACATGCCACTGAAGACCATGACTGATCTGAGTGGGCTCAGAATGCGCGCTTTGGACAAGCAATCATGGAGGGAACTCTCAGCCTGAGCTGGTTTTGCTCGCGGCTGCAACGCACGGGGTAGTGAACCCAGGACAGAAGCGGACCAGGCATCATGACTTTGCACATCTATCGTTATGCTGCTTCATTACGCGACCTGTTTTATTATTATTATTATTATTATTATTATGAGCTCAGTTAAACTTTTTCGCGACGCGACGCGTTTCCTGGCTGCGTAGAGATGAAGTAGCAGAGAAGACAAGCATACGCCTGTACAACGCTATCGTACTGCCGACATTGCTCTACAATTGCGAGAAATGGGGATTATCGTCTATAGCAATGGCCAAGGCAGACGCATTCCACCGGCGTCAAATGCGATCATTACTTGGAATACGATACCCTGACACAATCTGAAACGACGCCCTATATCGCAGAACTAAGAGCAACCCTGTATCAGATACAGTTGCATGTAGGCGATTACGAATGACCGGTCATGTGCTACGGATGGACACAGACACGCCACCGCCATTAGCCATGAGCGGCTACTTTGACCAGGGCAACAAAGCACCCCATGGGTGGCGAAGGTTGACACTGGCCACAAGTCTAGTCGCTCAGCTGAATAAACTGGTTGTGCCCATGAAGACCATGGAAGACCTTTCCATTTGCCAACAACAAGCAGCGGGCAAGACAGACCGGAGGAACTTGTCCAGCTCGACACCCAAAGAGACAACATGATCAGCAGCTACTACACCTTGCTGATGATGCTCAAAAGGCAGAAGCAGAAAAACACTGAATTTCTGTATTGTTTAGTGTTCTCCTACCCGAAATGTGCTACTATTATGTCTCCTTCATTCACTCCTTTCGAAGGCAATACGTCAGTCCCACTGGGAATATAATTCCATGGGTAGGATAGCTAAAGAAAGTGAAAATATACAAACCTAAAAACCAAATGGGAGAAGAATTAGGGGAAGGAAGAGGAAGAAAGGAAAGAACCTCAATCTGAACTCCAATATCAAAACAATAATAAAGAATTTTCTGCAATAGGCATTCTACAATGATAGGGACGTTGAGATCAGTCAAACCTCGAAACTTGGTGAGCCGAATGATGGGGGTGAGGGGGTTTATTATGACATTGGGATTCGGAATAGGTAACAGCGTATTACTCTAGAGCCCGCTCTGAAGTAGCAGAAGGGACAAAAGCCGACACCATGACTCAAGTATGCCCTACGCAAGTTGTAGTCAAGTGTAAAAGCCTAAACTAGCTAGCGTCAGAGTGCTAAACCAAAGTACATCAACCAGTAAAGGGAGTAACAAAGGAAATATGTTTATCAGTCTCGAACCGGGTTTTAATATCAATATTCAAGTCCCTTGGCTGTTGAACATGACTACGCAGCAGATATCCATCGACAAGTACAAAGGAAGGTCCTAAGAATTTAACCGAACCTTGTATAGCCTCCTGTTGCACAATAGCCAGATTTTCTTCCTGCACAGTCCGAAGGCATTGAGGAGTCTCTCTAACCAAGCCTCCCAGGGCACCGACAATCACAGGTGCCACGTCAACCTTGGTGAGGGACCAAATTATGGAAATCTCCCGCTTCAAGTCATAATATAAAATTATTTCGAGCACTTTTCAGCAATTTTCTTGTTAATGTTGTTCTCAAAAGGAACGATCACGTCTATGATGTGTGCGATGTGGTCCTTGTCATCAACAAGGAGCAGATCGGGCCTGTTTGCTGATAGTTTCAAGTCAGTTGGGACGGAATACTCCCAATAGAGCCGATATCGATCACTTTTGACCAGTGCCTTGAGCTGAATGTCGACTCGTGAAGCACCAGTAGGTACATCCCGTGCTCTACACATTTCCAATTGCACATACTTGACTATCCGGCCGTGCATATCCTCACAAGCGACCAAGCCCCGGCCTCCATCTCCCCTCTTCATTCAGAGACTGTTGACTGAGGCTTTGGGGTAGTGAAAACCAGACGCGGTCAAGGTTGATCCTGTTGCTCGATCTGTGTTCTATATTACAGCCTCGTCCCAATTTACGATTCCATAGCTATATGCCATGACGGGCAGAGCCTTTTGTTGATGGCCTTGATCATGTTTCTCGCATTCAATCCACTATTCAGAAGCAAATTTAGTCTCTTTTTGTATTCTGCGGTGAGTTGCGTGTTGAGCTGTGGGTGAGGAATCATGGCTGCTTGAACTACTCAAAGGTGCCTGTATATTTTATTGAGTCGTGACGACTCTGCAATAGTCTCATGAACAACCTGGATAGAGCATCCTTCATCTGCTTTTCCGCGCCTGACGTGCAGCACGGCACTCTTAGTTGGGTTCAGGGTCATGCTGATGTCACCACCAACGTCACACACGGTAGACACAAGGGTTTTCACATCCTTCGTGGATTTCCCGTTGAGTTTAATGTCATACATGTACCATGAGTGATTGATAGTGAACTCTGTATCTCCGCAGCTGATTCTGTAGTCCAAAGGCAATCGATTGAGCTCAAAACTGATGGGGTTTAGCGCCAGGCAAAAAACAGTAAGAGTTGCATTCGTGATCCAAATCTTTGTAAACGAAAAGAAAATGTCACAACACTTACACTATTCCAGTAAATTCGCACTTACACCCACTTACACATGCTTGTACATTGAATATTTTCTCCATGTCGCATTATTATTATTATAATTATTATTGAGTTTTGAATTAGTTTCGATCTGCCAGTAATCTTCTGATGAGATGGCCACGAAAACGTTAAAGAAACAAGCTTTTATACGTGGAACCTAGTTTTGCTAATGGTTTTTGTATTGAGTGCGCAGCCTACTCTATTTGTTGCGTCAGTTATCCATCAGCACTCGGCCGAAGGCCGTAGATAGGCATCCACCGGGATAGCATCCAGCAGCCAAAGGTGGGGCCATGCATCATAATGAATATTACATATGATTGTAGGTAAACCACAGAGAGAAACACACAACACTTTTTTTAAATATCGATCATAGTAAACACGAGAGTGTTTGGAGGAAAATAGGACCGAAAGAACTCCACCACCAACCACAGAGCAGAGCAAATCAAGGACCTTTCGCAGGATAGCTGCCGAGCCAAGGAGAGCATTCTTTTGCAATTCAGAAACAGAGCAGTAGCTGGTGATACCGATGGTGTCAAGGTATCCTGGCAACTGTTTGGAAACAGTGACCAAAGTCCCAACTACCACAGGAACAACCTGGGTCTCAACTGACCATAGCCGATGGACTTCGCAAGCAAGAAGTTGATACTTGGCACGTTTCTCAACTTCCTTTTCAGCAACGCGTGGGTAACCAGGTACAGCAATGTCAATGATCAGGGCCTTCTTGGCAGGTCCATTAACCAGAACAATATCAGGCCGTCGGTGCGCAATGAAGCGATCGCACCGGATGGTGAAATCACACAGAATCTTGATCTTCGGGTCCTGCGGAGAGATGGTGGCATCTGAAGTATCTCTAGCTTCAAGGCACCCTGTAAGAAAGGCGACAGGCCTGTTGGGTATACCCAAGTAAAATAATAAATACTACTACGACTACTACCAGCACGTTATCCTCGGGCGCGGGATGCTCTTGTACCGTTGCATTGGTTTTGGTATGCTGAAGCACCGGATTACAGTGGTGCTAGTAGTACGTGTCATCACATGGTATCCAATGTACACGCCAGAGCGACCAGAGAGGAGAACCGATTATGGCGCTCCAAGTAATCCCGTCCAACGAACTTTGAACACTCGCATAGGATATGGGCAACCGACTCGCCTGCCTTCCCACACATTCGACACAGGGGGCTTCCGCCCTGCTGGAAGATTTGGGCCTTCAGCAGGTTTGTAGCCAAGGCCTGGCCTTGTGCCGTGATGATCAGGCTCTCCTTGGTCTTCTTGAGACCAGCCTTTGTCAGCCAACTCGAGATGATTTCGTTGGTCAGTTGTTCTGTTTGCCGGACAAACTGTCCATGCAAGGGCTTCTGGGTCCACGCCAGGAGGTGTTCTTTTTGAAGCCGACTCTTCACCACCTGTGAGGAGTCCGCTGGGGCATCCATGTGTGGCCACAGAATGGGCGCAGCCACCTTCAGGAGTTTCTCGTTTGACTGAAGCACATAACGCTGCAGATTGCGTTTCTCCATGGCGACAACATTATGAATACTATGCAAACCACGTCCACCCTCCTTGCAACTGATGTACATACGGGCTACATCAGCGCGTGGAGAGGCTCCATGCACAGTCATAGGCTTGCCCGTTCTTCAG